CATTGCTAGTTGATGCTGATTGACAACACATTTTCTGTGCTACATATGGCACAGAAAGATGTACTCTTGGCTATAGTGCAGGCAAAAAAAGTGAGCACAGGATATTTTGTAAAAGCAGATGGAAGTTCTCATTTTTCCTCCTATTTATAGCTGCTGTTTGTAGTGTCCTTTCAGTTCTGTTATCCAATCACTCTTGATGTATTTCTGTTTGCTGAGATGAGAGGGGAAAAAAAGAAATAAGCCTTCCTTTTGCTATGTAAAATTCATTTCAGTACAGGAACTGGGCAGGAAGAGATGGAGGGGTACAGTTCTTTCCACAAAAATTCAGAGATAGGACAAAAATTCAAGTAAGGTCATTTCAAGCATAGGCTGAGTTTGCACTAATAAATGAAGTTTTCCTTCTGCCTTGAGGCAGGAGTGGTGTGGTCTAACTCACATAGTTTCCTGGTAATTTTCTGCTTTAAATAAAAAATAAATCAGTAGTCAGAGTAAAACCATGAGTTGATTTTGCCTAATAGCTGAGATAGGGACTGAGTGGCAGTCAGTGTGTAGGCAGATGCAGAGCTCCCAATGCTTTGCACACTGCTGGTTATGGTTAACCAGCCTCTGGGAGTCTCAGGAAGTCTGTGGGGAGCTCGGCACAAGCTGAAGTGGCAGGACACCTATTCTTTTGTCTCAAACTATTTCCTGAGCTGTGAAGTAATGATTACCCGCTCACCACATGGAAGTGTTATGAATATCAATATCTTTTAAAATTAGACCACTTAGGGTGCTGGTGATGGGGGAAATACATGTGTAAAGGAAGAAGGGAGCTAAATTCTTTTGGTTTTGAAGCCAAAAGAGAGAAAATGGTTTTTGCAGCCCCATTTATTTTTTTTTTTAAGAGTAAAATTCCGATTTTAATAAGACAAAGAGACTGCTGGCTAGCAGAGAAAAGGATTAATGGCACCTCATACTGAGACAGAGATATTTGGAAGTAATTTGTTTGGTCCTGCTGAGTTTTGTGGCAGTGGAAAGCTAAGCTTCTTCTGTCTTTAGAAAGTGTGCCCACAGGGAGTGCCAGACAGCTTTTCTGCCACTCCAAATTAATGATTCAGATTGTTTTTCTGCCAAGATAATATCCTTAGGTACACTTGGAAACTCGAGTAGATTCTGTTGAAAAGTGAACAGAATTAACAAAATATACAACTGCTATAATAATTAGAATTAAGTGGATTCAGTCCAAAAGCAGAATTGGGCAGCTTTCTTTTAAAGCCTGCATTAATGAGTCAATAATGGGAGGAACAGCTAAATATAAACATAAATTTTCTAAGCTAAAAATAATCATCCTCCAGAAGAAGCTAGTGGTTTACAAGGATACTATGAAGAATGCAATCTATCATGAAGCCTTTGCTGCATTATTTGAATATGTCTTTAATAAGTTCTTGAGTCCCTTTAGTTGCATCCCCTCCTCCAATTCATGATTTTAAGGATGTGACTAGAAGAATAGAAATCTTTATGGTAATATTTGTGTAATTATTTCTAGGCTTAGGGTCAGCTGCATTCCCGGATAATGGAAACAATATCAAAATTCTAAGTGATTAATGTTAACATTTCCAGCAATATCCCACAGAGATGTGGTAGACTCTTCCCCTTGTCTTACAGCTTGGTCATTTCACATCCTCAGCTGCTAAACTGGAGCAGAGCATGGCTCAGGATTTCTATGGGAATCTCCTAGAGCAAGAGTGTGCTTGAGCAGGAAAAGGGGTTAACAGTGACTGATGTCAGATTTCTCACTAAGCTGAAGTGGTAAGTATTATGCTGCTAAGACTTCTGCTTTTTTTTTAATGAATTAAAATTTGTTTCAGTCACATGGTCTTAATATGTTGTTCATGAATTCCAAATATTGCAATAATTTGTCTAAAAGCTTTTTGTCTCAACTTCAAATCCACTACCTGTGTAGTTTATTGTGATCTCTGATCTTTACTGATTGACTTTTAGTTAAATAAAGGTGAAATGCACATCTCTAAGTATGTACCTGATACATAGATGGCTTTTGTTTTCAATCTTGAAAATAGTTGTACCCATATTCAAATTTAAACACTAATAAAACCACTGAAATATGTTGGGAAGAAATAGGCTTTGCACTTGACTTTTTGAAATCTTCTTCATTCTTTGAGGCAGATTTTGTGCTAATTCTCTAGAAAATGAGAATCACAATGCCTGCAGAAACACTGGGTTGGGTCCCAGAATCAGTGTGTTACTGTGTACAGTTTCTAATCAGCCTGACTTCCCAAGTCTGTTAACTTCCAAAGATGAATAATTAGCCAGACTGCAGCAGTCCTCTGGTGCAACGATGGTGTCCTATTCTAGTGCTAGCTTGTTCAAAGGCTGCTCAGTAATGTCTTTGGAGTGCTCCTCTTTGTCGTGTACATGTGCTCTTAAAAGGCAGGTGTAGCCCAGAGCTGCTGTGCTAACACCTGTCCTCTTTTACACAACATTTCAGAGCAGCCTCTCAATCAGTTCTGGAGGCTGAGAAGTTACTGAGAATCTCTGGAACATCCTCCAGCCCCCGATGCTTGCTTTAACTTAGGGTTTGTAAAGGTGTTTTTTGGGAGAGCTGCCTGGAAAGAAGGAATCCTGTTTGTCCTGAGAAAACCTCTCATTGCTAGAATTAGGCTTTTTAAGCTTTATTGAGTAGCTAAATATTGTATTAATGTACCCATGATACAGGCTGCAGTTTCCTTCTCCTAAAATGTCTACAAATCACCAGAAAACATTTGATTTTGTTACATTGCTCTAAATAGAAAACAAATTGTGACATATTGAGAATGTTGGCATTGCACATTTTGCAGAAATAGGAGTAATCATTAATTCTTAAATTAGAGCTAAGTAAAAGAGAGTTCATGTATCAATCAACCAATCACAAATATAAATATATCTATATACATTTATATAATGCATTGAAACTCTCTTGATGTATATATAATGCAAGGAAAGACCAGTATTTAAATTTAAGTGCCTATTAAGTGCCTGATTTCCAAAAGCTTCTGACTCCATAGATTTAGAACTTAGGATCAATTTTCCAGTAGATTAATTTTCAATACTTTATTGGGGCTTCTAAAGTTGGAAATTGTATCTCTAAAGTTGTATTTCTAGGGTTCATTTTCAGATGTCTAAACTGAAACAATTGCAAATCTGAACTCTCCTAAAATCATCAGGAAGTGAAAAATCCCAGCAGCAAATTTCAAATTCACATCAGGACTCTAGAGTCTATTAAAGGTTCAGTGCACATTTGTTTCTCAAAGTGACTCTTTTTTTAAAAAATAAAGTGCTATACCAGGCATCCAAGACCACAGCCTCCCAAATTGTTGCATGCATTTATAACCCTTGGTTGGGACACAGTGCAGTATGGATTATTGTGTGATTAAAAACTATCAAAATGCCTCTTTATAAAATTATTATATGTGCAGCAAGTTATAGGTATTAATTTACAAGAGATACATTGAAAGCATATAAAATGAAAAAATGATTTTAATTTTTGTATTTTGAACAAGTGTTATTTCATGATATCATCTGATTATATATTTTTAAGAATTTTCTAAAGATATGTGACAAGCTGGTAGCTGAGCAAAAGGCTGATTGAGCTTTCCAGCATTTAATGGACACTGTTTTTTCCCAATCCTGAAAGCCAAAGTAAGTTGGGTGAATTCAAACATATAAGTAAACTATGAAAATTATTAATAAATATTTCTGCTTCATTACCTGAATCCTCAATGTCTGTTCTGCTTGCTGAGTATTTTCAGTAATTAATACAATCTACCAACTGAGTTAATATGCCAGACTTCAACTGAACTGTGCCCACATGTGAAATTTCATCTTCAGAATCTAAAATGTGGAGAGTTGATGACCATTACCTTGCTAAAAACATACACAAAGGTCACCACAGCATGTAGCACATTTACTCATTTTGTGGATCTCCATGGACCCTAAAGCTTTTCTGGTGTGAGTACCTTTAACATTTTGCTTCAGAAGTTACATTCACCTGTGAGCTGCACTGCTTATTTTGATATTCTAGTGTTAATATTATTGTAGGACAGTAATTTCATATCAATCTGAAAAAAATTGCATGTTCCTTTTATTATGGAAAATAGCACTAAACCTAAATTGTGATGCAAAGGAACGTTACCTGAAAAGTGACTTGGGATTCAGAAGATGATTAGATTTAAGTAATTTTTGTTTCACGATATAGAGACTTAACAGTATTTATTATTTTATATTGAATTTTTATTCCACTTCTTAAAAATTATTTCTAAGCAAAAAGTGAGGGGAAAATTTAAAAATTCATGCCCTCAGAGGGGAATTTAATTCAGATGGCTTTCAAAACATTTGCTTTCTATTAGCAGCTTTGTAACACTTTGGTGGAAAAATAATCTTTGACAAGGATTTAACACCTGTCCTTTTCTAGTTGCTGAGGAAACTCCCTGTTACCATGATATGGTTCATCCATAAATGAGATTTTTTTTTTTTTCCTCAGCTGCCTACTTCACCTTTCCTAGCACCTCAGTTGTAATTTCCGTGCAGAGCTGTGCCATAAGCACCCCCACAATCGTTGTTTCCGTGCCCGTGTGGGCGCGGTGCCCGCTGAGGAGGGGGCGAGCCGGGACCCCGCCGCTCCCGGCCGTGACTCAGCGCTCTGGGGAGGCCTCGCAGGCGCCCGGGACACGGAGCCCCGGGGCCTCGTTAATGAGTAACAACGCGGGGCCGCTCCGGCAGCGACACCTTCGCCCGGCGGCCGCTCGGGGCCCCGGGGCAGCGCCGGCCGCTCCCGTCCCGGCCCCGCCGCTCCAGCCGGACCCGCCCCTCTCCCAGTCTCCTCCGCGGCTCCCCCTCCCGAGCCAGGCGGAGCTGGAGCTGGAAGCGACGTCGTTCCTCGCCGCCGCCGCCTCTCCCCAGTGACCGAGGGCACCGGCGCTGCCTGGGGGGGCTCCGTTCTCCGGCCGCCGCCCGACGCCTCATCCCCGCCTCTGCCGGAGCCGGCGCTGCCCGCGGAGCAGCCATGAGCTGGGGCACGGAGCTGTGGGTGAGTCCCGGCTCGCCTCTCATTGTGTCTGAGATTCACCGCCTTCCCTTGTCTGCTCGGGCAGCTGCCCCGGGGAGGCGCGGAGCGGCCGGAGCCGAGGCGCTGCGCTTTGTTCGGCGGGCAGGGGCTGCGGCGGGCGGGGCGGGCCGGGGGTCCGGCGCTGGCGGAGGGAGGGCGGCGGCGCCGGGCCGGGGGCCGCGGCGGGGCGGGAGCGCCGTGTCCGGGGCGCGGTGCGCGCGCGCCGCCTGCGCGGCCATGGCGCTCCCCGGGGCGGCCCCTCGCCCTCCGCCCGCCCGGCGCGGTCACGGCGGGACGGGCGCTTTGTGTGCGGCCGGAGCAGCGCCCCGCTCGGGGCCCGGCGGCGGGGCTCTCGCCGTGCTCCCCGGGGCGGGGTCCCGGCGCGGCTCGGGCAGCGGCCCGCACCGGGCAGCCTCGGGGCGGCGGCAGAGCTGCTGCTCCCCCGAAAACCGCCGGGCTGCTCAGACGAGCAAAGCGTTCTCAGCTGCCGGCCCTAACTAGAAGCAGCTACTACACAGCTTTGTCTCTGGAAGTACCGCAGAATATTGGCTAGCGCTGCATTGTGTTTGTTTTAAATACGAAGGATTGGCAGCAACGAGACAAGCAGTTTTTTCGCGTTAGGGCTTTTCTTAACGCTGCCCTCTTCCCTCCGAAGGCTCTGGCTATGCCGAGGACGGCGGAGAAGGAAGGGGCTTGTCCCGGGGGAGTGCCGGAGCGAGGCACAGCGGTGTCTGCTCGCAGTGCTGGGCTGCTCTATCTCCTCTGTCAGGTTTCCTGCTCTGGCTGGAGCTTACGCTCATCGTGGGAATGCTTAGGCTTAAAAAAGAATAGTACCAAGGAGGGTTTAATGTCCTCGCTTTAAATGCCGCCTGCCCTTCATTTATTTGCTTTTAAAGACTGAAGCAGAGACTTTAGTGCTAAGAAAAAACAGAAATTACAGAAAGCTAAACGTTGCAGCTTGAAGTCTAGTCCAGGAACTCTTAATCTGGACTTATCACTATAGGTGGTTTGGTTTTTGGGGGGGATTTTTATTTTTTTTTTTTTAATGAAATAGTTTTATCAGTATTTTGTAGCACAGGGCTATTAGTGTCTGGAGGAGCAAAGATCTGCTCCACACCGAGACAAGTGGCTGGCCGGGGAGCCGGGGCAGCCGTGCCGGAGTGCCTGGGTGGGGCGCGGGGCTGGGAGTGCCCGCGGAGCTCCTGAGCCACCTGAATTAACTTGTGTGTGATTATGCAAAATGAGGATGTGATAGCATCACGTGTACTACGTGGAGAAGCCGGATTTAAAGGTATTCAGGGGTTACTTTAGTGTTTTGCATAGTGCCTTGTGCTTTGCTAGGATTTGTAGGCATGATGAGAATTCAAACAAAATACACTTTTTAAGTACTGAGAGCACTGCTGTAGCAGGCCTGAAGTCTAAAATGTTGTGACATTGGCAGTAAGGAGTAAGTAAAAGCTGTGATTTATATTAGTCACACAAGAGTGTGTGTGTGTAGCTCATGCCTGTATGTACTTCAGGTGAGAGGTGAGCATCACTTGAGGAGAGTGTGGTGAGCACTGACTGTAAGCACTCAGATATGTATTGCTTTAGAAAACAATACTTTGAATCAACTCTTTAAAAAAGACTTTTAGCTTATTCTTATCTGCTCATTTTTATAGCCTCTTAATTGTTTTTTTTTTTTGTTTAGCTTGTAAATGACAGCTGAAGATTTTATATTCTGTTTTGTGTTCAGTTTTGTATGAAAGTGCTTGTCTTTGCCCTGCGTTTAAGAAACATTCAAAAAGATGGATTTTGACCTCAGATTTCCTATTAATGACAGGCATTTAACTCACGGTGTTGTGAAACTAGCTGAAATTTTTTTTGACATACTATATTTCTTTTCTCCTAAAATGCATTAGTTGGAGAAGAAATAATGCCAGAATTTTAATCTGAAAGTTTTACTTTTGCAGTAAATTTTAGCAAAATTTAATGTATTTTTTGCTTGATATCTGGAGATGACCTGCAACTCTATGCTGAGGTAACTTCATGCATGAAATGGTCTGTTTGTGACTATATAACTAGACTTTGACAATGCAAATTTTTACATTACAGGGTACCTGTTAAATTTTTTTTAATTGAATCTAATCATACTTTTAAAAATCTACTATATTTTGTAGACCAAACTGGTTTTTTAGTTGGAAGAATATTCAGTGCTTCACTTACTGTAAAAAGTATTAAACTTTAATTGTTTTAACAACTTGTGCTGGGCAAGTAAAGATTGCTTTTTGAAGATCTGGCACAAAATCAAATTCATTAAGAATTATCTTAAATCTAGGTTAAAAACACAAGGAAAAACAGTATATTGTGGGTCTTCAAAGACACGGCTTTGAACAAGATAAAAAACTCTTAGACATGTTTGTGTTCTAGTGTAGCAATTCCTTCATCATTCCCTGTTGTTAGCATCAGTGGAGCTGCTCTGTGTTTGCTGCTGGCAGCAGGGACGTGACATGTTCAGTCCCCATCTGCAGAACAAAGCTCTTCTGCTCAGCTTTTCTGGACACCTCATTGGGCCTAAAGCTCTCTTTTATTAGTGCTTTCACCTCATAAAGTGAAATTTTTCAGGGTTAGGACTGGTATCTAAGCATAGTCAAAACATTTGCACTTATGTATGTATTCTTTGCTAATTCTTTGAAGCAAATTTGATGCTTCTGTATCAGGCTTTTTTAGCATCTCCTTAACTCTGCCTTCTTAAGTTGTATCTCTTCATGCTGTTTTTTGATACTTTATGCTAATTCGCAGTTCTGAGGGTTTTTTTTAGCTGCTCTGGAGTTTCATATTATATGCTGTTTTGAATAAAGTAAAAAACAGCATAGATGAATATAGAGACAAATAAGGAGCCAGAAGAAAAATGATAGGATAAGGAAAGTAAGCCATGCCTGATATTTATGTGGTAATTATTAAATACAGCAATTCTGTTACTGAAATTATACATATACTAATTAAATGGTTATATCAGGGACAGGGCAAAGGAAAGATTTTCTTTGATTGGCCAGTATTTTCCAATTCTTTAAATTTGGTAGCTGTTTGTTTTTCAAGCAGGTTTTTTTTTTTTTAATAAGTACACCACCATTCTCTGAAGTGTTGTGTGCATTGTACAAAATGTGTATGTCTTGATTAGACTAAAGCACTTGATGCTTTTCAGCGTGTCTCAGCCAAAAAGCATGCTCCTTGTTGTGTCTCTTTTGATAGCATTGTATGAAATAATGTAAATTAATAATAACAAAATAAATGTCAAACCGTATAAGCCATCCTGTGCTTAGAACTGTTTCATTCCACAACATTTTCTGTGCTGTGGGAAATATGCTCCCCTTTTCTGCTTTCTTATTTCTATAGAAGTTTCATTATGCTTTTTAAGTAATATTCGACAGTATTTTTTTTTTCATCAGTGTGTGTATCTTTGTGGTCACTCTGCAGCATATTCCATATGGTATGACCATACAGAACCTAAGATACTTTGGTGAACTGCTTTGCATAATACTCTCTTAAGGGTTAGAACTGAATAGTGAGAACTGGCAAGTCTTGTCTAATTCAGTTGAAATATATTTTCTGAGAATTTGGCTGTTGGGTGCCAAATTTTCATATCTCTAGTATTTCTTTGTAGGTAACATTTGTAGAGCAGTAATTATCCAAAGGAATAATCATGAAATAGCATTGCTGCACTTCATTAGTAATAGAAAATTGCTGCTGTTTATTTAAATACGGATGCTTTACAGAATTAACTTTTTGGAGTTTGTCATGCTCTTTTCAAATACTGCACACTTACGTTCACCTCATGAGCAGTAGGAGGGTTTATACATTGAAGTTGTGATAAGACTTGCATTTTTGCTTTATAAAGTACCCTGACTTCTGTCGAACTCCGCTGCAATATCCAAAGTAAGAATAGATAGATGAGACTAAAATTGGAGTGGAGTATGGTAATTTTAAATATTTGGAAATAAAAATGATAGATTATGATATGTTTAGGAATCTTTTCAGCATGAGCATCTGTTCAGTGTGTATGTTTCTGTACATCTGGAGTTCCTTTTGTGGTGGGCGTAAAGTGTACAAATAGCATGAACATAGAATATTTAAAAAATATGTCTGGTTATTGTCATCTTGGGTTATTGTGCTGTTAAATCTAATGTGTGTAGTACATTTGCTTTGAGGCTTACTATGCTTTGGAGACTGGAGTGCAGCTGATAACGAAGTCCTTGGTGTAATGAGAAGAGACAGTGTGATTGGCACTCTCAAGTGGCTTCTTTGGAAATTAATTAAAGACTTTGTGCTATCTCTTTAAAAAAACAACCAGGAAGGATGTTTTTTGACTTTGGATGCACGTTCTGTTGTTCCAACCCCTGTGAACTCCTTAATAGCAGTTGGCAGAAAAAGAGTTTGAATACCATGTCAGAACATTTTCAGTCTGTAGAACCAGTCTAGCCATCTGTTTCTCACCTCTTGATAAATATTTAAAACAGAAATTTTGCTGAGGGCTTTTTGTGCTGAGATTTCTTGATTAAAAAGAAATGGCTATAGAAGATTTAATGATACTATTGTTGTGAGCTCCTTGGGGCCAGAAGCACACCATCTTCTATAATTAAGAAACCACTGGCACTGTAGAGTAGTATTTTAGAAATTAGTTATGTTGGACCAAAGAAAGATCAAAGTATATTTGGTGATGTGCTCTTTTTAATCTTTCCTTAAACAAAATTCATTCTGTGCCTAAACCCAAGTTCTATTTTAAAAAATATTAAATAACTTTGTTGCATCAGTAATTTTTCAAAAGCTGTTAAAAATATTCTTATGTTTTCAGTCCCACTTTCAGACTTTGTTTCCTTCTTGCTTTAAAATCTTAGTCTTATTTTGTAGAAGATAAATCATGTGGTGATGTTGTCCAGTCTTAAAAGTTGTCAAGTGGAATTACATATGGAAATCATCCACAGAATGTGAATAGGAAAGAGCTT